TAATTAAAAGGTTGAAGCACATGCAGACGTTGGAAGAGAGACTGGTCTTCAAAATTAGCCTGATCAACTGAATTTGGAGCTACAGCCTAGGATGTTCAGGGTGGCACCTGCCCTCAGCAGCCCCGCCAAAGCTCAGGGAGGTGTTGCAGCAAACTTCCTTGGCCTCTCTTGCCCGTCAGAGCTCACCCCCAATCACTGGCTCAAATATAGCAAGATAATAAGACATTTATGAATGTAGTCAGTCCTGGGGCTTGTTCTGAGATATCTGTGCCTGTCATGGGGGAGGTGGGGGGAACCCAAACCCAAGCCCTGCTTGCCCTTCAAGCCAACAGTAGCTGACTTCCTTCTGCTATAGTGTCTGCTCTCTAGTGACTTTAAGGGTAATGCAAGAAATACAGGGACCTGGAAGCCACTATGCTGAAGGACACTTTTTTTTTTTTTCAGAAGAGGGTGAAGGGGACAGGAGACCTGTCCCAGGCTCTTTGGTTAATTCCAGAGAATATTTAGCCCCATATCTGATGTCTCAAAGAAGCATTTCCAAACAGCAGCATGCCCAGATGGAGATCAGTGACAAGTGGTGTCCCTCAGGGGTCCCTACTGGGATCAGTGCTGTTTAATATTTTCATCAATAACACAGACAGTGGGATCGAGTGCACCCTCAGCAAATTTACAGACAACACCAAGCTGTATGGTGGGGTTGACAGGCTTGAGGGAAGGGATGCCATCCAGAAGGACCTGGACAAGCTCAATGAGTGGGCCCATGTGAATCTCATGAGATTCAACAAGGCCAAGTACAAGGTCCTGCATGTGGGTCAGGGCAACCCTCTGGTATTAGTACAGGCTGGACAATGGGTGGATTGAGAGCAGCCCTGCGGAGGAGGACTTGCGGGTACTGGCAGATAAAAAGCTGGACATGACCCAGCAATGAGGGCTTGCAGCCCAGAAAGCCAACTGTGTCCTGGGATGCATTGAAAGAAGTGTGACCAGCAGGGCAAGAGGGGCGATTCTCCCCCTCTACTCTGGTGAGACCCCACCTGCAGTGCTGTGTTCAGCTCTAGAGTCCTCAGCACAAGAAAGACGTGGACCTGTTGGAGCAGGTCCAGAGGAGGCCACAAAAATAATCAGAGGGCTGGAGCACCTCTCCTACAAGAGAGTTGGGCTTTTTCAGCCTGGAGAAGAGAAGGCTCTCAGGACACCTTATAGTGGCCTTCCAGTACTTAAAGGGGGCCTACAGGAAAGGTGGGGAGAAACTTTTTAATAAGGCCTGTTGCAATAGGAGAAGGAGTAATGGCTTAAAACTAAAAGAGGGTAGAATCAGACTAGATATAATGAGGAAATTTTTTACGATGAGAGTGGTGAAACACTGAAACAGGTTGCCCAGAGAGGTGGTAGATGGCCCATCCCTGGAAACATTCAAGGTCAGGTTGGACAGGGCTCTGAGCAACACGATCTGGTTGAAGATGTCCCTGCTCATTGCAGGGGGTTGGACTAGTTGACCTTTAAAGGTCCCTTCCAACCTAAACATTCTATGATTCTATGAACTAGCAAAAATAAAAGGGTACTGGAAGCAGGTCCAGATCAGAGGGGTCCAGTCACTCACACCCAAAACCAGCACTTGAGTGTGGAGCAGAAGCTGCTGCAGGGGTCAGCAAGACGCCCAGACACCCACAGGACTGGAAAAATCCCACAGATGTGACCCTGCAAACTCACCCCACCCACGTTACAGTGCTGCTCCACACATTAAAGAACAGCATGGATAGACCTGTTTGGGAAAGAAAAAAAAAAAAAAAAGAAAAGAGAAAGCCAGAATTAATAAGCAACATTAAATCACCCGGCAGAGCAGCTCCTCCAGAGTGGCCTATTTACAGAGTTGCTTGGTGCCCTGGGAGGGATGGGCAATACTGTAAACTCAGGAATGGAAATTCCCAAGGAGAACCAACACAGGTTAATAACGATCCCCCACAGCCTAGGACCTCTAGTACAACCACCTCCTTTTTGAAACCTAGAGTCCTCTGGGAAAATTTAGGCCTAGGGCTTTGAACAAAAAATAAGGAAAACTTTTTCTTCCTGAAGACAGTCTATGAAACGCAAGCAATGCTTATAAGTGTTTTACTGTATTGTTATTCTGTAGATGCCATTTTTGGAGGTGTGACCCTGCGCAGCCTGATCTCAAAACAAAGCCATTTGTGGCTAGCACCACGTATCACCAACTGACTCCTTCCGCTCAAAATAAAATAATAAAAAAAAAAAACAAAAACAAACAAGTACCCCCATAAATCATTCATCCATCCCAGTTTCATAACAAGAACATTTGTCAGCTCCCATTTTGCTTTCCTTTCTCCGACTGCCTGTTCTACAAAGCCACCATTTCAGCTGCCTGTGCATACAGACCGGCGGGCACGCTGCGCCGCAACTGCTCCTGCATCCCCATCCTCCTGCCTGCAGAGAGGATGGCCACCCCTCTCCCCCAAACCCTCGCCCGCACCACCAGAGATTTTTCAGAGTTTGCTTTTTAAAAATATATATATTTTTTTATCAGTAGCTCTGGGGTACCCATCAGATGTACTCAGCTCCTGTAACAATCACGTGATTTATGTAGAAGTAATTGGGGTTAAACTATCTGCCACATCAAACTCTTCACATTTGGCCCCATCTTTAGGACCTAAAACATCTGAAATAAATAAAGCCATGTGTCATTTAACAGGGTCTGGGCTTAATTAGGATCATTCTGGATTTTATGGGAGAAATCTTGTACTGCCAGCTTTATGTGGCTAGTCCATCACTTGCAAGGTTATCTGCCTTTTTTTTTTTTTCTTTTTTTTTTTTCCTTTAGTACCTACATCAAAATATTTCTATTTCCACATAGCTTTTCTTTTTCTTTTTTTCTTTTTTTTTTTTTTTAATCCTCCAACCAGCCGGATGACAACCACTCCTTATCTTTGGCTGTCTTCCATGCTAAAATAAGAATGCTGTTGTTATGCCGAGGGAGCTGCACCCTTCCACCTCCGTTCCCTCCCGATGTGCACACAGCTGGCTGCGCAGGAACGCCCGAGGTGCCATTTTCTGGCCATTTCTCTGTGATGTTGTTGCAATTTACCCTCTAGCTACGATTTGTATTTCTAAATCACACCGGGCCTCTCTCGTGCCACGGATTTCACAAACCTCAAGTGACAGACGGTCTCTGTCCCTAAGAGCTGGTGATACTCAGCCCATCGTCACTGCCACCGCTTCCCTGCCTTGACGTAGGCTAGCCGACACGAGGGCGAGCACGCAGCCAAACACCGCTCGAGCGATGCCGGGCGATTTGATTAGCAGCAGAGAATGACTGGATTAGAAGAAGGGTAGGATTAGAGAATGATGAATCGTTCTGAGGCTGCTACGTCTGTATTACTGGCTCCGGCAGCAGCATTTGAATGTCAAACTGTATCCCCCTGGAGCAGCCAGGTACCGCCTGTCGCAGGCTTCAGGCTGCTGCGTGCAGGGCACGTGGGGAAGGTAAAGGGTTTGAGTTAGGGTCTGAATCGACACGCCCGTGTAGGTAAACCCTTGGCCAGTCACAGGCAGAGATGAGCAGAGGGGAGGCAGGGAAACATTAAACGATTTGCCCAAAGCTACACTGGCAATTGGTGGCAGAAACGGGAGCCAGATCTTCTTTAAAAAAAAAAAAATTTCTTACACAGGAGATGAACCAGCCACCTTTGTTACATGCAAATGCATTTTTTCCCTGTAATTCACACCGCTGCAGGCTCTGCACAGCAAACCCCAGCTTCCCGAAGTTGTAGCGTGTTCTGGGCGACCTGCTCATTGCAGGCAGCGTGCCCGCTACATGACTAGCTCTGCCCTCCAGCCTGCGCTTGCAACACAATCCACGCGCGCTGGAAAAGCTTATCTCTTGCATTTTTGGTAGGAAGCGATCGACACCCTGCAAAACCCATCACCAAGGTGATTCCCAGTTTGACCCGGATAGCTCTGGCTACTGGAGCGCCTCCAGAATTTAATGTACGTGCAGAAATTCAGCATCACTCTCCAGTTAATTTGAGCAGTGATCCCCTCTTCAAATTTGGCTTCAGTCATCTCTGAAGGTGAAAGAGATTTCAGCGTCTTGACGAGAGTCCCATTGGAGCTTATCACAAAAATGCTACAAAATTCATCAGAGACGCCAAGGACAAAATAGCGAGGGTGCATTAATCGAAGAGGCTGCCCTAGCAGAGCTGCGCAGGAAAATACGCAGGCTGCCAGCGGCCTCCTGGACTAGTTACTGTAGTTACATCTGATTAACCAGGGCCACTCGCAGAGTCATGAAAAGGAAAGAAAGGCTCTTCCAAATTTACATATTAAAAAAAATGTAAGCGTGCTGTTTTTCCGTCCTATGCTGGTGTTATGCCTGAAACGCTCCCATCAGTAGCATATTTGTGAGGAAATCTTTAAATGTTGAGACAATTTTCAAGTGATAAATTAGATGAAAGGTTACTTAGAAAAAATATTTCCTCATCAAGTTTAGATGGAAAATGCCTGAAGAATTAATGCGCAACCAGATACTCTTTCCTCTTTAAGAACACATCCCCATTAGACAATATATATATATTTTTAATCTTACATTTTAAGCATTATTTTTAAAAAAGCCTTCAGATGGAGAACGGCATGCCAGAAAACTAACATCAGCAACGGTGACTAAATGAAAGCCAAACCAATCTCTTAAAAAAAAGGGGGGGGAAATAAAAAATAAAAAATAAAAAAAAAAAAAAAAAGAGAGAAGGTGAATAACAGCCCAGCGAGCGCTGCACAGGGCGCCGGCAGCACCTCCCCCGAGGGACGCACAACTTCTGGGGCACGACACTTCTCCGAGGCACCCACGGCCACGCAGGGCCGGAGCACCGCCACGCCGGCGCAGATGACCCCACGCCCCGCCACAGCCTCATCCAGAAAAAGCCATTAAAAGGGGGGACGCAGGTGACAGTTCGCCCTCCTGGCAGCCTCCGCCGAGAAGCCGGGAGACAGCGGGAGGAATTTCTGCCCCAACTTCGGAAGGGTAAATCCTCCTCCTCCTCCTCCTCCTCGTGACCGGCTACGAGAGGGACCCCAAATCATCCCATTACCGCCCATCTTGAAACCCACCCTACATTTTTAATCTCCTTCTCGCAAAGCGCGGACCCGGGCGCTTCAAAGCCGCTGTGACCCGCCGCGTTTTGTTTCCCGTGGGGCAGTACAGCCACCAACCGGAGTGGGGAAGGGGGGAGGCGGTAAGACGACGACAGGGGAACCGCGGCACGCGCCGCTCCTCCCCGCGCACCCACGGGCGTGATTTTGGAGAAGTTGCGCAGGCAGGAGGAGGAGGAGGAGGAGGAGGAGGGGAGGTGGCGGCGGGGGGGAGGGTTGGCGGTTCTCGCCCGTGCGGTCGCAGTCTCGCCCCGTCCCTCTCCCCGCCTCGGTCCTGCGCGCCCCCCCACCGCCGCAGCCCCACCGCCGGGACAACCCGCACAAAGCCGCCGCCGCCGCCGCCGCCGCCGGGGTCTCGCTGCGCCCGCTCGGCGCCACCAGAAACAATAGTCACGGGCCGAAGCGGGGGGACCGCGGAACCGCCGCCGCCCTCCCCACGGTAACCGCAGAGCCCGGCCTCGGGTGGGAAGAAGAGGGGTGTGTGTGTGTATGGAGGGAAGGGGTGTGTGTGGTGGGGGGGGGGATTCCCGCAAAACGCCACCGCCCCGGCCAACCTGTCACCGCTCCGCCCGCCCGGGGTTGTCGGTGCGCAGCCGCTTCGCGGCACCTACCTCCGGCGGAGGGTGCGGCAGCCCCTAGCTGGGCTCCATGGGGGCCGCAGCCGCCGCCCGCCTCTGTCAGCCCCGGCCGCCGCCGCCGCCGCCGGGGACGCGCCGCCCTGCCCTGCCCGGTACCGCGTCCCGCTCCCCCCCGCGCCGGGCGGGGCGGGGCGGGGCGAGCGACGAGGGGGCGGGGACGTCCCGCCCTTGGCCCCGCCCCCCCCGCGCCGCTCGCCCCGCCCCGCCCCCGCGCCCCCACGGAGCCGGCGTGCGTGGGGCAGGGACCGCGGAGGGTCCCGCGTGCCCGCCGCGGACCCTGTGGGAACCAGCCCGGCGCCCGGGAGGATGCTGCGGCGGGCAGCGTCATCCCCGCTAATAAATCTCATGGATTTTTTGCTCCCTGCTTGCTTGAAGTTTTGACCTTGTCTTCTCTGCCGCTATCTCGGATTGATTTCTAATTTCCTACTTCTTGTTATTCCCTCCCCCCTTTCCCTTCTTTTTATTTATTTTTTTTTTCCCTGTCTTTTTCACCCTTGATCTCCCTTGTCCCCATTCCCCCTTAAGACTGAATATCCCAAGCCCCTTAACCGTGGACTCTGGGCTTTAAAATGGTTTTGTCGAGGGCAAAAGAGTTTTTCATAGGTTTCAAATCGCTCTTAGTGTCAGCAGCAGCTTATTGGAAGGCGTGGTGCACTACACTAAATCCGTGGCTAGTATTACATAATATGCCCTCAAATGTACATAAAAGATGATTGTAATTCCATCTGGATTTCTGTTGATATTAGCAAACCGCTCGAGATTTCCTCTTGCAGTTTAATGGGCGTTTCAAAACCTTTGACTGGTGCCGGATCAAACAGATTATGATTTAAGAAAGGGTAAAGCACGCGCACTCATGACATTGTAGGAATTAGGGAAAGAAGAAAAAAAATACTTAGTAGGTCATCTGCCTAATCCATCTTCCAAAAGAGAGCAGGAATGTCCCCCATAGGATAATTTATGGGCATTTGTCTAGTTTTCTTTCAAATGCTCCAAATATGTGGCTTCCTCATTGCCCATAGGAATTTAGGTCAAGCTGCCTGAGAGTGAATTTTGTAGCATCTCGGGATTTAACATCCACTCCTGTTATTCCAAGTTGGTTGTGTTTTGTTTCTGGTTTTGTTTTGTTTTGTTTTCCGCAAACAGCACAACTGCACAGTTGCAGTTGGTTATTTCTTTCTTACCCACCAGCACAGAAGGATTTTGGCCATCACTCTCCCCAGGTTGAGAGACCAAGGATGAGCACAGCTGGGAAAATGTCAGCTCTGTGCTCGCTGTGGCCAAAAGAGTGAATCAAATGTCAGGACTTGTTAGGAGAGCAATGGAGAGAAAAACAGATTTTACACCAGTCTGTAAATCCGTGGTGCACCTGCACCCTGAATGCTTCTCAAAAAGGGCACGGTAGAGATGGAAAAGGCTCGGAGGAGGCTAGCAGTGATGATCTGTGGTTTGTAATGGCTTTCCAGTCAGGTACGTGCAGCCTGGCAAGAGGTGCCTGTGGGGAGATGTGGCAGAGGTTCCTCAACTCTCGAGCGGCACGGAGAGAGCGAGCAGGGGCTGCTGGCCCTGACTGCCAGCACAAGAAGCAGAGACCATTAAATGAAGGTAGCTGGTGGCTGCTCCGCCTGACTGTACGGAGGTGATTCCTCATGCAAACACAACTGTGGAGCCCCTTGCCATCTGACAGCAGGCAGTCGATGTCGTTTTGAGAGGAGAATGGAGGAACTTACAGAAGAGAAATCCACAGAGGGCGGCCAAATCACAGCTGGCTCAGAAAGGTCCCTCCACCACAAATGGTTCACGACTCGACTTGCTCTGTTCTTGCACTCTCCCCCAGGTGCCCGTTGATAGCCACTGTTTACCTGCCAGCAGTGAATACACCGCTCAGTTTTAATGTCACATCTAGGTTAATTTTGTGCTGCCCACGGCTTTCCCAACACCTGTATTGCATAGAATTGAATACTAAGAGAGATGAGGGGCTTCCTGGAAGGTATCAGGACAGTAAGGCGGAGGAGTGTTGTAAGCAAGCAGAGAGGCAACTGGGAATGCTGTCAGCCAAGTGGGCTGCTTGGGACGGTAGTCAGCAATGTGAGGAGGAGGTGGTCCCTCAAATGTGCAGTAGAAAAACTGGTTTTAAACTGTTGTGTTTAAGAGTGGAAAAAGGTTCCACTTTGGAAGAATGGAGGGGTTAGTGTTTCAAGACTGTCAGCTGTCACACGAGTACTTGGATTATGTTACTACCTTTCTGTCAAGAACTGGAGGGGTTGTTGTCAAACATATTCATTAAGGCAGGTGTGGACTGTGTGACATCGTGTGTGGAATGGAATATGTACAGGTATGAAATCATGAGCCTGCTGTTTGACACTCTTGGGAAGGAGCGGAGAGGATGGCGTTGGTGCTGATGTCATAAGCTCTCAATAGTGTAAATCTGTTATTCAAAATGTAGTTTTTGAAGAAGATGTCTGCTCGTTTTGGTGGGAGAGTGGCAATGCTGTACCAACACATGGCACGGAAGCATCCAAGCCCACTGGAAGAACAATCATTATGCAATGAGTCAGCGAAGAGAAAGAAACACTGTTTGCAAAGAAGTTTCTCTCACCCTTATAAAATATGACAGAAATAATCAAATCTAGCTGTGACCTGGGCACAGTGACCTTAATTTAAAATCAATCAAAAATCCCTCTGTCAATAGCAGCTGATCGCCCTGTTCACATCTCAGACTGATACTCTCCCAGGCTGTTACACAAGTGGGTAAACATTATGTCGTCTTCTTGTCTACCCTCTTCCTCCATGCCTTTGAAGCTGAGATAGCATGGCCTCAAATACTTCTCTGTGTTTCTGACAGAGGAATTTTTTTCTGTGCATTGGTTTATATGGCTATAAGTATAAATTATAGTTATATGAGGACAGGCTGAGAGAGTTGGGTTGTTCAGGCTGGAGAAGAGAAGACTCCAGGGAGACCTTATAGCGGCCTTCCAGTACTTAAAGGGGGCCTACAGGGAAGATGGGGAGGGACTCTTCATCACGGAGTGTAGGGATAGGGTGAGGGGTAACGGTTTTAAACTGAGAGAGGTTAGGTTCAGATTAGATATAAGGAAGAAATTATTTGCTGTGGGGGTGGTGAGGCGCTGGCACAGGTTGCCCAGAGCAGCTGTGGCTGCCCCCTCCCTGGAAGGGTTCAAGGCCAGGCTGGACGGGGCTTTGGGCAACCTGGGCTGGTGGGAGGTGTCCCTGCCTGTGGCAGGGGGGGTTGGAACCAGATGATCTTTAAGGCCCCTTCCAACCCAAACCATCCTGTGATTCTATAAAGCTGTATAAATATGCCTCAGCATGGCTGCTTTATCCATGTATCTTCTCCAGAATTTACCAGTTCAATAGTTTGTATCTTGGTACAAAGCCAGGAGAAAAACTTGCTCTGGTGAGGTGTGTTGACACGCAGGAGGCAAACTACAGCAAAAATTAAAATGCAGGAGCCCAAATTATGTATATGAGTGACCTTAGTCAAGTGATTTGTGGACATAATCCTTTATGGGACTGATCCTATATACTGTTTCCACAGTGTTTATGCAGGAAAACATATTCAGGTAGATCAGGATAGTCACCATTTGCCTGTCAGGTTGCTCCACCTCCACCTGAGTCTCAACATGTATTCAGGCATGTGGCACTTCTGAACTCCCATATAAGCTTTGTTCTTAAGTCGGGTGGCTAAGATAACTATAAAGAGAGGATTTGCATAAACTTTATGTCTTGCCTGTGCTGATAAGCATACCAAGGGGCTGTTACTTTTTCCTTTTGCGAAGCATGTAAAACAGTCGGCAGTATCATTCATCTTGCCCTGTTACTTGATCTTGTAGAAACACTTTGATCCTGTGACAATACTATACAGTAGCAAAATTAATGCTGCCAGGTGTGATTATTAACATAGCAATCCAGGATGCATTGCAAGCTTTAAATTGTAATCACAAACTCTATACAAGCACCCACACTACAAATGCTGGGTGGGGAGAACTGACAGACGGTCGCATACACACTACCTGTTGCGAACTTTCGGTGCACAGCAACAGTGCTCATCACACCTAAAATGGGGGTTCTGAGCAGATGCAAGATTTGTAGTGACAGAATTAATTTTCAGCTTTTCCTCTAATAATATATAGGCAGTAGAAAGTCTGTGGCAAGTCTGAATTGAGTACTAAGCAGCTTTAAAATTGTTTAAGGCATTATCTATTATAAGGAAGTTTATAAAGCTCCATCTCCATTATTTGAGTTTTCACAAGGTCATAATCCACTTGACCCTCATGGTTTATTTCATCACTATTGTCCCTCAGAGGAATTATAACCTTTACCATTACCACTTGCTAAATATATCAAGAGGTTTTAGTGATATTATCATAAATCACCAAGCTCAGCTTTGTTGCTTGTAGTGTGACCATAGTACCTACTGATTTTTGATGCAGTGATTGTCAGCCTGATCTGGTTGTATTTTTAAAAGTACTTTATAATAAGGGCAGATGCTAACAGATATGAATGTATTTTGGCTTTTCTTTCATGATTAAAATTTTTTTTTTCTGAGATCATCTGAACTTCAAGCGTTGCCTTCTTGGGCAATGTTTCTGAGATCAAACATGAAAAATACGAAGTCAAGGATATTGAAATCAAGCACAGTGATTTCAGGTAATGCCATTCTAAAATTGTTTCTCTTTTCAATTAAATATATGAGTGTTCATTAGAAATCATATCATAATTTGATTATCCTAAAAGCAGTTATTGAGACGAGCAAAGATATCACAGATAAGCCAGGTACATT